TGAACGTCGGTTAGAGACGATACGTTTAATGATCTAACGCGCTACCGAACAGCTTCCTTGATAGGTAGTCAACTCTAAACGATCCGTAATGCAAGGGTGAGCTCTAAATTAGACATCAGAAGGCATCGTGTGAAAAGCCTAGTCTCTAGACGTTCCCCATTCGGTTCTCTACTCTTGAAGAGGCATCGAGTGGAAAGGAGACTTTTCGCAAATCAGCATCTCGCTTGGACACTTGAACAATGGTGACTGCTCTCTTCACAGATGAACGCTGGTTTGTTTTTTGGCAATCAGTGCCCGGAACTGTGGGTGGAGAAGACGTGTAAAACGTTTCTTTTGTGGTGACTCGATACCATTTTTTCGATAAAAGCGCCATCTAGAGGAGAACAACCAAGCTGCAGCACAATTCAATACACAATTTTTATTCTTCCCTTCTACTTGTTATTAGATTTAAGATGTGTTCAAAATTATATTTTAAAACTCAGTAAATTTGTAAATATGTATTTATTTTCATATTATTCATTTTATTTCTTATATAAAATAGAAGAAAACCTTAAAAAGGAATAATGTAAGATAAACGATCTCAAGAAGCCAACTCCCGCTGATTCCAGCAAGACTTCGAAACATTCCTATCTCTGGATATCTCAGGATCGACACTCAACGTACAGTTTTTAAAAATACCGAGATCACTGATATTTTACACAATACAGTACTTTGACAAGAGGACCCGGGAAAGCCTTGTAGGTGGGATAAACGGAGAGGAGATTCCCGCCAACTTCAAACTCGTGACAGAGTAACGCCGACACGACTGTCGAGTCACATTGTCTCACCCACCTTCACTCTTCACTTAAATATTTCTCGTATGGTTGACAGCTAATAATGGGTGCCCCAGGAACTGAAGAAACCGATTTACAGTCAAAGGCTGCTGCAAAATGTGAAGAGGATGATATAGCCTACGAAACCGTTCGAAGAACGTACCATCCACAAACAAGGGCGGGAGCAGACCTTGAAGCTCTGCGAAGAGCAATGGAGGACAACGGAAAAAGAAAAGCAGTTTTTCACACAATATTGTCCGGATTGATATCGCCGCTCCAAATATTAGACAAATTTACTGAGGTATTATGTGGTCACGGGAAAATCATAGCCTATTTGCACCGCTTCTTCATAATCGACAACCCTTCATGCACCTGTGGTGCTCCCTTTCAGGACTGACGACATCTAACTTTGGATTGCCCTAAATTGGAGAGCATCCGAGGAATAATGGAAAGAGATTTCCTCCTACGGGAGAACTGCCTGGCCAGTTCAAACGGAGCAACTCATGTCACCAACGCTTCTCAAATATTTCACTAAATTTATCAGTAGCATAGATTTCAATAAGCATAATCAATAATGTGTTTGTCTTATTCGTAACATTTCTCAAATCTTATTTTTATGGCTTTTATTTTCATTAAAATTTTCGGTTTACTAGCACATTTCATCTATCTTTCATCATTGTTGATGTATCATAAGTACGTATTTTATTTATTTATTATTCATTCTTTTTGTAATTTCTCGAAATAAAATCAAACAAAATACTAATTATTTTTCCTTGTATGTTGAATTTGTATTAATTTGTAAATACAACAGCTGCAATCGATTAGGTGAGCGGGTGGAATAAATAAACGTCCCACGTACACGGTTTACTGTATTTGGAAGGGGGGAAAAAACTACCTTCACTGGCTCTTCTCCGAGCACTTTCGAAGTTTGAGTCTGCTCACCTTTTGGCAACCAAGAGACTCCCTTCCCGAAATCTCGAAAGGCCATCACTCATTAGTCATGCTCCTTACTTAAGAGCCACTCAACGGGCACACTCGCTTACGGCGCCCTCTAATCCTTTGGACGAGAATTTCAAATTGGCACACTCGAAAGCATGCTAAAACTGAACAAGTCAACAAAGAAACAAATGACCACACGATTGATCAATCCACCAAATGCAGAACAGTCACAATTCCTCACAAAAATTTGGTACTCTTAGTACTAAAATTACTGCTCTCGAGTTTACAAAACACAAACAACTTGGTTCTCCCACAGGCATACTATATTTTTTAAATATTCCACTCAATATATCTTAAATATTACTTAGTTTCCCATTGCCATTTATTGTCTGATTCTAATCAGCATCTGAATCTGGACGATTTGCGATGGGTTTTTACAATGAGGTGAGAGCTTCTTAGGCTACCCCTGGACCTTCTGCCCTGTGCTTTCTATGTAACTCCAAGGTCAGAGAGGGAGTGTTCCATTTATTAGCAGAATGCACAATTTTAAAGAAAACTTGCTCCACCTACCCCACAGTTCCAGATCTAGAGATGAACTTATTACTGGGCTAAGCTCTTAACCTACCCCACTTGTAAAATATTACTTTATTTTTTTTTACGAGGGTTCGCAACAGCAGATGTCATATAAATCCTCAGAGTGTCGGTGTTTTTGAAAAAAAGCCCATTTGTATGTACCTTACAATGATGAGCGCCGTATCAACGCCTGAACCGTTGCGGCCACCGACGCCCCTTGTAAAATATTGTAGACATGCATGGTAATACTTAAATTTATGTTTATGATTTATGATATATATAATAACAAAAATATATTTTATATATAATAACAAAATATTTTTATGTTAAAGAATTCTTTACTTATTGTTTGTACAATTTGATTTCAATTTATTATTATTTGTTTTTATTGTTATTTTTTGGCGTTTTGAATTCTGAATTTTTAAGGGCCATTTAAACCTTCAATCTCAGGTTAGCTATAAAGGGGTATAAAGCTTTGACTCAAAAATTGACTCATAAACTAATCTATCCTATTGCCATCCAAATTTTAAATTTGGAAGGCCAAATGTATGCAAAAAACCCTTTTTTAGGGAGCTATCTTTTCTTCCTATTTTGGGCGTTGCAGTTTATTAACCCGCAATTTGTATTTATTTTTTCTCATTTTACCGCTCCTACAGCCTCGAAAATTCCTGGAGAAAAAGAAAGAAATCTTGCACCCAGAACTCTCATAAGCTATAAGAATTTGGGAAAAGGCCTAAATCTCATTACAAATTCCAATACATTTGAGAAAGCTGAAAAGTGCTCTTCGAAACAAACACTGGGGACCTATTAGTAGGTAGTAGTATAAATAATAGTAACTACTTTAAATCAGTCGAAAAGTTGAGCCATTGCTTAAAAGGTTGCAAAGTGTGACAGTCGACCAAAATATATTTTACAGTAAGAATGACACGTTCTCCACTTCGAATACATCGAGGACAATTTGGAAGATTGTTGCCTGTTAAAAGCCTTTTATAGATTAGCCTGATGTGACCTATTCGCAATCTAAAGAGAATCACAGTTCTTTTTTCACTCAAGTTTGCCATTATTATTATTAATAATAACAGATACAGGTAGATATAGAAATAGATAGATAAATTAAATACATAGAAGTAGATAGATACAGGTAGCGATAGAGATTGAGATTGAAATAGATATTTAGATGGAGTGAGAGAGAGCGAAAGAGAGGAAAAGAGAGGAAGAGATAGATAGATAGATAGATAGATAGATAGATAGATAGATAGATAGAGAGGGAGAGAGTGAGAGAGAGAGAGAGAGAGAAAGAGAGAGAGAGGCAGCGTGATGGAGAGAAAGAGAGAAAGAGAGAGAGAGAGAGAGAGAGAGAGAGATAGATAGATAGATAGATAGATAGATAGATAGATAGAGAGGGAGAGAGAGAGAGAGAGAGAGAGAGAGAAAGAGAGAGAGAGGCAGCGTGATGGAGAGAAAGAGAGAAAGAGAGAGAGAGAGAGAGAGAGAGAGAGAGAGAGAGAGGGAGGGAGAGTATGTACTTATGTGTTTCTACACTTAAAAAATCGTAAAATTGAATATCTCAAAAATTATCGAATATCAGATTAGAATGTACACAAAATCTATTTATTTTAAATTACATTTATTACATATGTAAATTTAGTACAAGAAAATCCTATTAGACAGCGATACTGTCACGGTGTGTGTTGATTTGTTTGTAATTAAATATTATTGTTTCTGTTGACCACATTCTACGTAAAATCGGCATATTCTCATAGGAAAACAACTTATACTGAAAACTTCCTGCGCGACTCGACTCGTTTCATGCGGTTGTATGGCACCATATACAACAAACCAAAACATTGTTTACTTTTAAGTTTATTCTTCTGAAAAAAACCCAAAATTTTGGTATAGCCGTACACACGACTATAGAGTAATCTTTAGAAGCATTGAGAATAATAGACTTAGTGTCGTAAAACTATGACAAGACATAAAACAAGATTAATGGTATCACAGTAAAGTTCCCGGGTTTGAATCCCAGCGGTCCTCTATTATACAAATGTGCTTTTTATCAAAATCTCCACAGGGATTGATATGAGCTCTGTCGTTGAGCATTACCGTAAAAAAATTATTATACAAAAGTTTTGTACATTAAAATACTCTGATATGAAAAAGTTTATTTACTTTGTGTTTACTTCATTACTTCATAATACAGTCACGCTGAATGGAACAAAACTCTACTTTGACCACTGTTAAGTCTAGTACTTATAAATATTAAACAAATAACAACTTTGGTTTGTTTACAATGCAACTAATATTATGAGATGATGGCAATTGAATGATGGTAAATAAGCAGATAATTTTTTTTTTATTATTACAGTCTTTATTATTAGACAATTGAAAACGTAACTAATTTTTCTGTTTGTGGTACAATTAATGGCGTTAATTTATAGTACTTTAATTACTTATATGTTGTAAATATTGTTCATTTTTAAGGAAATACTATGGTTGGCCTCCTATGGTGACGTGTCGAACGTTACGGTCTTCAAATTAACATTAAGAGGAATGATTTTGCTTCTGGTAACTTATTTAGATTTAGTTGACTTTGGCATTACTTTCCTGACAGTTGATCGATATTTACAACATATTGCTTTTCGGGAGTTTAAAAATATAAAGTCCGTACTGAAGTACCTGTATCCAAGCATATGCCCATGTTGTCGTAAACCTGCCTATCCGATGTCGAGCCACATGACGCACCGGCTGAAGAGCGACTGCTTCTGTTGATCAGCGGGAGCACAACAGAAAGAGAAGGCGCTTGCGCCCTTGCATCAAGTTCGTACGGCCGAAGTATCGTCGTTTAGGTTTACACCACTTTCAAACGATTCCACTCGATAAACCGGGCTTTTCGTTGCGTCGCGTCGTGCCAAGGCCGGACTCCTTTGTTTTAACTTTGGCCGGATTAACCCGGGATCCCTAATAGCGGCGGTCATGTTATTGAATTTTATGTCATACATCAAATGACGTTGCGTGCATTAATTTCCCTTTTGATATTTGCTTTTTGATCCGAATCTCGCTCCCACTTGTCCTCTTGTTTGTTTTATTTCGAATTTGTCGATTTTGGCCCAAATAATTAACTCATTTTTATAAAAGGCCCGACTTCTAGGCTATTATTTGCATATTTGAGTCATTACAGCAGAATATAGTAGACATTCATTTAGAAAATGCTACTAGGATATTACATTGCATCTGGTAATTCGATTGTTAATTTATTTACCTCTCATACAATATCGCTTAACAATACTCACCTGGCTAAACCAAACTGCAAACTTTACCTCGGCCTTTATGTGGACCCACGTCTAACATGACTGAACTGGCATGCATATTTGACAAAAAACAAACTGAAAATCTAAAAAGCTATAGTAAAACTTGGGCTAGTACGGTGGAGCACGGCCAAACCTACTAACATCCAAAAAACCATATTCCAAGCTCCCTACTACGTCACCCTTACTAATGACCTCAAAATTCCCTTCATAAAAAAATACTCCTTGACTAATTTTCCAGTTTTGCATTCGCTTCTTCTCACACCATACTCGATTATTTATATTATTATTTAAGCAAAAACGCCCCAAAAACGACTGAAGTGGACATTGACTCACGACTGCCTCGTCGAGGGTCAGTTTTTGTGGAACATAGGAAAAACAACAATCTTTGTTCACTCATTTCATGTAATTTGATCTATGCTACTTGTAGAATTAAACTAGTACCGTAGAGCACGGCCAAACCTACCACCATCCAAAATCGTACAAGCAACATAGTATGGTCGGCTGCGATTTCCTGTTTTAAGTTTGCTATAGTTTGCTATCAAGAAAATATATATATATATATATACATAGTATTTATTTTATATACATAGTATTTATTATATATATATATATATGATATGATATATTTATTTATTGACCCGAAGTAAAAAATAGTAGAGTTTGTTGTTGAGGATTAACCTAGGGCTCTTATCAGGAGTTTAAATGTCCATAAATGATCATTACTGAGGATAAAACAACTGCGAGCATAAAATATTCATAAATGCTAATTGCTGACGGTAAACCTAGGTCTCTTATGAGGAGTATAAAATGTCCATAAATGATCATTATTGAGGATGAAACAAGTGCGAGCATAAAATATTCATAAATACTCATTTCTGAGCATAAACCTAGGACTCTTATGAGGAGTATAAAATGTTCATAAATTCATGAAATGAATAATCATTACTGAGGATGAAGCAAGTGCGAGCATAAAATATTCATAAATGCAAATTGCTGACGGTAAACCTAGGTCTCTTATGAGGAGTGTAAAATGTCCATAAATGATCATTACTGAGGATGAAACAAGTGCGAGCATAAAATATTCATAAATGCTCATTTCTGAGGATAAATCTAGGACTCTTATGAGTAGTATAAAATGTTCATAAATTCATGAAATGAATAATCATTACTGAGGATAATTACTGAGGATGAAGCAAGTACGAGCATAAAATATTCATAAATGCTCGTTAATGAGGATAAACCTAGGGCTCTTATGAGGAGTATAAAATGTTCATAAATGCTCATTTCTGAGGATAAATCTACGACTCTTATGAGGAGTATAAAATGTTCATAAATTCATGAAATGAATAATCATTACTGAGGATAATTACTGAGGATGAAGCAAGTGCGAGCATAAAATATTCATAAATGCTCGTTAATGAGGATAAACCTAGGGCTCTTATCAGGAGTTTAAAATGTCCATAAATGATTATTACTAGGATAATAACTGAGGATGAAACAAGTGCGAGTATAAAATATTCATAAATGCTCATTGCTGAGAATAAACCTAGGACTCTTATCAGGAGCATAAAATGTCCATAAATAGCTAAAGTTTGTGTCTATGTCATAAAATATCAATAATCATTGATGGGTATGAAACTAGAGTTTGTATCAGCATAAACTGTAGGTATGGGCTCATTGCTGTAGATGAAAAAAGTGCTTATGAGGCGAACAGAAAATGCCCATAACTGCTCATTATAGAGGACAAAATAACAGCTTGTATCAGAAGCATAAATGTTCATAAGTTCTCATTGCTGGAGATAGAAGTACAGTTTGTGCCAGCAGCAATTTTTTTAAAGCTCATCAGGTTCACTAAAAAACGAAGTAAGGGATTGTGTTGATAACATAAAATGTCTCTCCTTCGAGATAATAAATTTACCTTTAAAAATAAAATAAAAACTATGAGAAATTGAAAACAGCTGATCCAAAAATTTCTAGAGATCGATATAGAATCGTCAATACCGTCTTCTCGCCTTTTCGTACAGGATGTCAGTTCAAAATGACCTCCTCCATGGTTGAAATAGTCGAAGTTAGAAATGCTAAAAGATATCGTTTGGATGTATTTTGGAGTTATTTATTTTCCTATTCTTGTGAATAATCAATTTGTTTGTATAAAATGTCCGTATTTGCTATCTCGATTAAATCTGTCTGATTTGAATCGCTCACGCTTCTTCCGGAACGAGGATCATAACCGATTCATTGCCTGAACGGGTTTTCGAGTAATAAGCTTTCCAATCAGAATTTAACAACTCTGTGGCTTTGAAATGTAGTTTAATCTCTTATTGAAATCAAACAGAACTATTATGTTCTTTATTGTTTTGTTTCTTTATTGTTAAAACTCGACCGAACAGTGAAAAGACGATGGAGTATTTAATATCCAACTACTTCACAAAGGAGTTACCCTCTGAAGATGGCGCAAGGCCGAAACGCGTTTGAGTTGTTCAACATACTCGCGAGTGAAAACGGATCCAATGTGCAATATAGTAGACACACAATAAAGTATTCACAAACGTAACGTTTGAACTTAATATGTCCCATGTGGAAACGAGAAAATCATTTAGTAAAACTGAAACTTTTATAGTTTTTAATTTTATTTTCATATAAACATATACATATAACATTAAATTAAGCTTAATCTTTTATATTTACAAATTATTATATCTGTAGTTTGTACTAAACTAATACATAATATATAAGCTTAAACGTAGGATATTCTATGGATTTAATAAGTCATTACTTGAGCGTTCATAATTCCTAACCTACACTCACCCTGCTTATTATGTTAGTGAGTGTGTACGACTAGGCATTAGTCCGTTTGACGAAATTCACAAAGGATCGATTGAAAAATTGGAGGATATGTAAAATTATTGATGACAGTTCGCAGGTCGGTGTCAGTAGCTCACTTCCTGCTAAAGGAGCTTGAACTCACGCGATCGTTTTGCTACTTCCGGGTATCCAGTCGCGCCGCAATATTTCATAAACAGTCAAATCGGTAAATCGCATAGAAAAATTAATAACCGTCGAAATTGTACAATTATTAAAAGGCATTTAGGACACCCGAGTTCATTGTACTGTCGAAGTCTTGATGATAATTGGCACATTAAATTAGCTTTCCTTACTTGATAGCCTACTGAATAATAAAATAACGGCAGTTCTTACATTTTGAATCATATATAATTTATTAATAATGATTACGCAAAACTACATGAACCAATAACAAGAAAACATTGTAACAGACGAAATAACAGACGATATAACTTGGTGAGCCAGAGCTATGCACATTTCTTACTTGATTCAGAATAGGCCATATGCGATTCACACATAAATCCTTACCGACAAAATAAGTAGTTCGCGCATGTGGTGAGTAGCAAAAAGAAAACTTTGTGCCCAAAATTATAAAACGGATTTTGCTATGTGTCTCTACAGATATCGTGTGGACCAAGCTCGTACTCCTTTTCATATTCTTAGTATACGCTTATTTTGTGGGTTTTCGCCAGACTATTAGGGTTCGTAAAAACGTCAAAGTGGAATTTCTAACCACCCCCTAGAGGAGCACCGCCTACGGTAAATCCTCCCATCGAGCTCAGCCTACACCTGCCATGCGCATTCGAGGGATGCCATAGGCTTACTCCTAGGTGGTCCGATCCTTCGTTGTCCCACAAGGTAACAACGACGGTCATATGCACAGCTGTGCAAAGAATACTAGAGCAGGAGCAACCGTTTCATTACCCATTCCCAACCGCTACTACTCACGCATTCGAGGGACTAATCAGCATAATCATCACGTCCTCAACGCCTATACGCTGCCGTCCGATCCACCGTGTCCCGTGAAGCCGGGTGTTAACGGTGGCCATACGCAAGTTTCGCGCGAAACAGGCAGGAGACAGCCTCTTCTCTGAGTTCCCGCCAGGGGCGTCACCACAAGCCACCATGAATCCATTCCCATCGTAACATGGGCTGAATTTGGAACGTTTTGTTACCCCGTGGTACAGATGGTCATCCACCCTCCCCCGTCTATGCAGACAGGATCTGGTACACTTACCCTCGTGTGCCTCTGATAAGGCACCCGCCGCCCATGCCGACCTGAGGCCCACATGAATACAGCTTGTGCTTTAGAGAGGTTGCCAAGCCCTCTAGGCTACACCATTATTTTGCACCTGGATGCCACCCTTGTAACCATGGGTTAGGAGGAGGTCACAGGATAGAATGAAGGAAACTGGATTGAGAAAGGGCCGTGGACGAAGACTCGAGGTGAGCCGTTTCGGGGTCTCGAGCATCAACCACACTATACCACCCGTCGTCGCCGCAGTGCCACATTGAGTGGGCCACAGCTTCCAGGGTGGGTGACCATAGTTGTTCAGAGATCATAATGGAATTAGCGTTGTAGTTGTAGAAATTTCGTTTTTACCGATCATTTGGTCGACGAGTTTCAGCATTTCGCCATCTTCAGTAGTATCCTTTGGCAAACTGCAACTCCGTGACCTAATTTTAATTACAGGCTATTTACATAGGCGAACAGCGGTAGCAAGGATCAGTTAGATTAGTTTGTGAAAACTATTCTACTTCGAGCTAGCCACAGCTTATGTCTTAAACCTCTGAATATTATTGAAGATTACCAGACCCTTCCATGCATTTGAGGTACAATTAATAAAGAAACCTGTAATTAGTGTAATAATAAGGAACCTGGAATAGTATCCTTAAATAGTGGAATCAACCGAAATATTTTCACTGGCCATCTGCAAAATTATTTAAAAATCTGCATACATTTTTAAAAACATTCTGAAACCCATAGCTCTACAGATTCGATAAGTATCTGAGAAAGAAGTGAATGTAACCCTAACACACACCTATAGTGCTACATTTCTCCGCTGTAGAATTCTGCAAAATCTTTTAAAATGGATATTTTTTTGGCCGAAAACACTATTTTTTTGCTTGACTATTTTCGCATCATCAATTTACGTTAACTGCGCATGGGTTTGGTTAGTTTAGGAATGATTAGGATTAAAGACGAGTTAGGTTGGGTTAGGGCTGATGCTGGGTGGTGGACTGCGAGTCCGCGAACTCATGGTGAACCAGCATTGGACCACTTTTTGGGTCTGTCTTCATTGGCGGGTTTGTCGAACTAGTCAAACGCGTTTCGACGTTGCGCCATATTTACTGAGGTACTAGTTAAAGTAACCAATATTCCTCACTGAAGATGGCACAATGCCAAAACGCCTTTGAGTAGTGCCATGAACCCAGAGCCAGTTCAGCATAGGTTAAGTTTATACAGGGATAGGGTTAAGGATGACGCAGGTTAGGTTAGGTTATGTTAAAGACTGGTTAGCCCATGATGCAATATTTATCCGTGAAGAGTGAAGATCAGCAATACAATTCACTCATCGCTTTCTGGAGGGAATTTACACCATATATCAATGGTACATTTAACCATGGATGTGAAAAATGTTAGGGTGTAAGTTTAGCTTGTAACCAGTACATTTCGAGGATAAATTGTTCTAATCGTAGATAACGTCTGACACAAGACTTAGGTGTCAAATCCCGTTCTCATAGTTCAAAAATATTATAAATTGTACTTGTGATACATAAACAAGGTCTCAATACCGGACTGTCAATGACGTTAATATCCGTAAGAATTTATAAAAAGAAAATAAAGAGCAATGAAGGAATATAATGAAGTAATATAATGTAATAACTGACGATGTAGACAAGATGGTTTATTTGAGTTATGTCTCTGTCTTAAATGTCAAAACACCAAAATAAATAGGAGCCAAGCAAAAATATTGGCACATTTAGACACAGCGACATGATAGTTAACTCGTTAGCTAAATTTATTACTTAGAATAATATTGCTCATATGAATATTTAGGAAAGGTTGAGGTAAAAAAGTCAGTGTCACGAGCGGGATTCGAACCCACGACCTTCGGCTAAATACGTCGCTACTCTTTTTAGCCGAAGGTCGTGGGTTCGAATCCCGCTCGTGACACTGACTTTTTTTTCTCAACCAATACTTTTCATAAATATTAATTAATTCAAAAATGTTAATTGGTCAATCGGACCACAAACTGTAATGGATTGCTCATGTGGTTGAATTTAACATAAATACAACGTTGTTTGAAAATATGTTTAATAATATAAAATTAAGGAATCAACAAATTACATTGCAACCAATTAAATACAAAGAGTCATTACAATAATTTGAAAGAAAATTTCAACTTTTATTTCCGTTATAAAAAATTGTAATGTTAGTAATTGATGCCTCCTGCAAAAGCAAAAAACTCTATCAAGAAACTAAATAAAATTTTAACATTCGATAACAGGTAAACAATAAAATTTTAAATATTAAAATCCCCTAAACGCTTCCAGGTTTCCATGTCATTTATTGCAGCACGGCAGGGAGTGCAAAGCTCATAAAATTATATTGTACAGTCCGACGATCGTTTCGCACTGGATACAATTGATGGTGACAAATGCTCGAACTAGTTATTCTCTCGTGATATTGAAATCCTGCAGTAAGTCAAGATTTTCAGTTTCGGAGAATTCTCTTCGTGTCCACACGCGAGTCACAGGACTTCGAGATGATGACTGACCGGGACCCTCACCGTCGGCGCTACACGGTTGTTGACCAGTTGGATGATCTGATTCGATCCTCGCCAAGCCCTGAAGCAACGCAAATGGTACCTGGGAGAAAATTATCTACAATGCATGCAGAAGCAGTTATGCTACGGTGTGAAATAAATTTGGCATCAGCCACTCTTTGGATAAATAATATGAAAATACCTCATAATCCTTCACCGTTCAAACAAAATATAAAGCCTGCTGGATATGCAGTAAGATCAATTTGGAATAATTGTTGGAATAAATTTATTTAGAAAAAAATCACTTTTAATGTTATGATTTTAACTAAATCTGTAAATATTTTAATAATACTCTACAGTTCATGCGTTTTTTAAATATAATTATGTTAAAATGTAACAACTTTTGAAGCTGTTCATGTTGGGTTGATGCAAAAATAATGCAAGTGTTTGATGTTCAGCAAAAATAAGCTACCATTTAATTTCAATATAATACATTCAATGGAAATGACGTCCATTACTATCTATGCATTTTTACATACGCACAACCAATGAGTTAATGCCAGAAGAGTAGAAACCAGGGTCTATGGAATCGACCAACTCCCGGAATGCTTTTTCAATGTCATTCTGCCTTCTGAACTGTTTTTGGCACAAAAAATTGTTGAGATGTTTAACAAAAAGTGATAATCAGTAGGAGAAAGATCCGGCGAGAATGGTGGATGTGGTAAAGCCTCGTCCCAACTCATGAAGTCATGCCAGAGTCCGTTGTGCGACTTGTGGGCGTGCGCTGTCTTGAAGGAGGATAGGCCCCTTCCGATTGGTTAATGCTGGCCATAAATGTCGCAGTTTTCGGACCATCTCATTAATTTCACTACAGTACTATTCAGCAGTCATTTCACCCGGTTAGAGGGAACTACAATGAGTTAGTCCTTCAGATGACCACCAGACAGTAATCCATAATTTTTCTTGGTTGTAAGCTTGCTTTGGGAAGTGCCCTGGTTTTTCACTCTTATCCAAGTCTACAACGCTGTTTATTGTCGTATAAAATCCATTTTTCGTCACATGCTACTATACGACTGAGAAATGGATCATTTTTGTTCCGTACAGAAAGCGTTGAACAGATTTCATACCTGCGATCCTTCAGCTCTTGCGGAACCCACTTGGCGAGCTTCTTTGTTTTCCCAATAGCTTCCCGATGACGAACGACTGCGAATTTGTCTACACCAAGTTCTTCGCCATTTATCGAGTAGTTTTTGCAGGGTCTGCTTCAACTATAGCCTTTAACTGGTCGTTGTCAACAGCAGAAGGTCGGCCACCACCTTCTTTGCTCGCGAGGTCATAATCTCCATTAAGGAATTTTTGAAACCAACGCTGCACTGTGGATTCATGAATGGTGCCTTCCCCCAAATGTCATTATTGTTTCGAGCGGTTTGCGCTGCACTCCGCCCAAGTTTAAATTCGTAGAAATAAATTTGACAAAAATCGCTCTTATACATCATTTTGTTTGATGGCACTGAACAGACTGAATTAAATGTTTTTACTAAAAGGACTGGAAGAGAAAGAAAGCGAGGTAAATAGGCTTTAAAATGATGTGTATCCCTTAGCATAATGGAGTTTTGTTTACACAATTGGTATTAAAAGGAAAACCTGCATTTATTTTGCATCAATCTAATACGAACAGTAATTCAGACATTCTCTATGCTGTAATGTTGACACGTTCATTTAAAAAACAGACGTTAATATGAACTTGTAGTATAAAATCCTATTAAAAAAGTAATTAATTATAAATCTTTGGTTTTGATAGTTGCAGAGCAGCAAATACTTACCATCAAAATGTGTTTCTATTCGATGTGGATGTTAATTTTCTAACGGAAAATACAAAAATTGATGTCACACTGTGACAACAATAAATTCATTAAATTTCGTGGTCCGATTGACCAAATAACATCTTTCAATTAATTAATCTTTATGTAAGGTATTGGTTGAGATAAAAAAGTTAGTGACACAAGCGGGATTCGAACCCACGACCTTCAGCACAATACGCCGTTACTCTAACCACTTGAACTATCCTGACATGGATTAAAAATAATAATGTTAAATTAAAATAATTTTTACACAAATAAAACATTGTAATTGAGAATGGAACAGGATGCCATAATGTACATTTGACTAATCTTCTTACTTCTTATGCAAAATCTTGGTTGAGATGAAAAAGTTAGCGTCACGAGCGGGATTCGTACCCACGACCTTCCGAGTCACGACAGCTCAAGTGGTCAGAGAAGCGGTGTGTTGAGCCCGCTCATAATACTAACTTTTTCATCTCAACCAAGAACTTACATAAAAAGAATAATTAATTGAAATAATTAATACGGTCAATTAGGCCACTAAACATAAATGAATTATTTCTTAGTTTGAAGAAAGGTTTTTCGCCACATGGTTGGTGGAATTTTTAATTGCAAGCCAAAGAAATCTAATTGCTTAAGCCAAAGAAATATTGGAAGAAAAACATCTCGAAAGTGTGAAATCAAAAATGTAATTCTGCAGCATGAAGAAAAAGGCCACATCGAGGAAAAATACAAAGAATTTCTACCTAGTGAAGCATATCCGACGCCAACCCTTCATGCTACTCTTTTTTGTACTACATCGCTCCCTTGATTCAAGGTAAGCATTAAGGATTGAAGAAGAGGTGCGCTTTGTGTCAACATTATAGCATGGAGAATGTCAGAATTACTGCTCGTATTAGAAAATAAGTCCTCATGAATAGCTTCAAATGTTGCAATTTTATAATTAAAACTTTACAATTAATTAAGGTTTCAGTTGAGATGAAAAAAAGTTAATGGCACGAGCGGGATTCGAACCCACGATCTTCGGCTAGATACGCCGCTGCTCTGACCACTTGAGCTGTCGTGACCTCGATCCACTCGGACATCAACTTCCTATCTCAACCACACCTTATGAGTTTTCCCTCCTTTTTTTTCATCTCAACCAAAAACCTTAATTAATTGTAATGTATTAATTGGTCAAGCGGATCACGAAATTAGTGAATTTATAATTAAATATTAATTAATTTTACGTTTTAGTGATCAATTGACCAAGTTACTTCTTTCAAGTAATTATTCTTTTTATGTAAAGTCTTGGTTCAGATAAAAAAATGTCACGGATGTGAATCGAACGGCTAAATATGCCCCTGTTCTACCACTATAATAATTAAGTATAACTTTATAATTAAATATAACTACATGAAAAACGCATAGACTACAAAGTATTATTAAAATCTTATGATTAAAATTGAATTTTCAAAATTGAAAGAATTGCAGTCACTCGGATTCCTAGATCCGCTTCGCACATTTTAATGTTCGACATCATTGGCTTTACTTAAACTTTTTTTTAACTAACAAATGTCTTCGATCGATTGTATGCTTGTCAATACAAAAGATTTCACGTTTATTAATGTTAGAAAACAATAGAAACTCTAATCAAAAATGAATAAAGTCAATTTTTGTTAAAGCAAATGAGCAAATGACACGCGCAGATTTTTGTTTCTAATTAGTGTTATATATTTTCAAATTGTTATTTTTATTTGTTCGTGTTGGATTAATTGTTATTCTTTCGAATAGTAATATTTGTAAAACTAGCAATTAATACATATTTACAGAAACTATCAATATAATTAGTTATTTGTAGCATTTTAATAGGTTGATGGTGGGTATGCGAGTCATGAACAATTGTTGAACCGCAACTGGATTCGTCTACACTCGCGGGTTTTGATGTTACTCAACCAAAGAAACGTCAAGAGCTCCTCACTGAAGATGGCGGAAAGCCGAAACACGATTAACTAACACAACCCGCGAGTAAGTCAGGCCCAGTAAGTGACCCAGTGACGGTTCACCATATAATTTATGCTGTTGTCACGAATGATTGTAAACATTTTAGCAATGGAGTTAAATGTTCATCACACCATTTAGTTAGTTATGTGAGTATATATTTTATATAAATGAAAAAAAAGCCAATTGTTATTAAAAAAATGTAGGTCTCACCTAACTGTGATGTACGACCATAAAAAATAAGTTAAAAGAACGCATATACTAATGAAGGCTAATCCGACGCCTTCCCACTGTCCTTTTTGGATGTAAACGTAGGCTCCCACAGAGCAGAGATATACGGAGACGAAGCAGAGGGGTGTCAGGATCAAGAGGCAGAGGACGTCTCCGTAAAAGCCGTTCGGCCCTGCCGGCATGTTGCGCGAGCACAGCCACTGGAAAAAGGAGGAAATTGATCACAAGCCATTTTGGAAAAATATATTCCTTCTCCTACTTGTGTGATCGGCCTGGGCCCTCTGTGCGTCCTGAAATTGAATTTGCACAGTTCGCAATAGTCGGTGTTGGAAGTCGACAGCCATCTTTCCAAACAGGAGACATGCACAAGAGCCATCGTTCCACTACACTCGCACGGGGATATAAGCGTTTCTGGAGTTTCGGCTGGAAAAGTATTTAAAATAATCACAAATTAAAAACACGTGGATAGCGATGTCACCAATGCTGATGCTAAAATTTAAATTAAATACAAATCCCGTGATCAGTACTGATTGCAAAAAAACCAACAGACGCGTAAAGTTAAATTATCGAGGTATTGCATTGGGAGAAAGAAGCCATATTTGACCATCCAAATAAGAGAAATAATGAGATGAGCCTTCTCGAAACTGAGTGTTACAGCAAATTAAAAATGGATACTCAGTCCGAGAGAACTCTAGGTGACTTGTGCTCATTGACACGTACGAAAGAGCAGGCTGGGGGAAACAATACCAAATAAGAGAAGGACCATCCTCAATTAAGCCAAAGAATAGCTCCTTCCTAATAACAAAGTGTCATAGAACAGACCTCCTCATCTTTGCATCTACTCTACCAATAGACATTGCCCTCCAAACTAAAATTTTAAGCTGACAGTTAAAAGAACGAACGATAATAAAGACAGATAAAGACTTTACGCGCCTAGGTATCAGACCCAAGATTTGGATCAATTGGAGCAATGACTAGTGTCAAGAAAAATCAGAATTACAGACTTCTGTAAGTAATCGGTATCGTCGGTTCGATTCATTCCTTTTAGGTCGTGTACGTGGATTCCAGGTGAGTCGCTTCTCTAGATGCAATCCAAGGTAGTGAATAGGTTTTCGGTGAATAATATAGTGGTGGTAAAGTGAGGCAAAGGAAGGTAAAGGTTATGTATTTGGATTAATAGCGGTCAGCTTTTTTTGAATTACTGTTCAATGGGATGTAGTTGTGTCTGGAGGATGAGGTGAATTATAATGGGAGTTAGAGGATATAATGATGTGCCATCAGGATTTGATGTTTTGTGGTTTCGGGATAGGACGGGATCTCAGCGGTAGATACTGAGTACAACAGCGGACCGAGGACCCTGAGGAACTCCTGCGTTCAAGTTGTACAAAGGAGAGTGAGAGAATCGGACCCATACTTTACAGTACTTGACACGAAGTGTTCAGAGGGTAGGGTGCGTTGACTTTCCAGAGCAAATTCAGGTGCCAGACTTGCTCGGAGCATGTTCGACATGGAGAAAAACGAGCAGCATTCTTTCTTCTCATGGGAGGATGCGATGATGTCCATCAAGTGATGGCACTGTTGAGCAGTGGAATGGTGACACCTTAATCCAAATTGATGGTCGGGGATTACTTTAGAGGATTCGAGGATGGAGAATATTTGTTTACAAAGGAGGTTTTCAAGGAGTTTACCATGAATTGGCAGTAAATTAATAGAATAGGACGGTAGTAATTCGGTAGGTGGTGTGGTTTGTTGGGTTAAGAGATTGGGTGAGCATTAGAAAATTTCGATGTTCGTGACAATTAAAAGTAAAACTTCCAAAGACAATAGCGAATGATAAGCGATTTGTCGTCTTAGACACGATTTATTTTCAAACCCGAGCTGAATTAAAAGAATCACAATGAACTTTTCAAAAGAACCTACTTGAGAAGTAGATCCGCGTGTTAAGTAAACTTTATCGGACATTTAATAAATTTAAAAATAAATTCTCACCTTCATGGCAGATTCGGCAGACTGACGCCACGCTGGAACAGCTTTTGGCTGGAGAGGAAAGTCTTTTCACCGTCAATTGCGTGTTTGACTGAACTTTCGTGTTGATCGTCACTTCTTGAATCTCCTTTGTTTGTCCTTCCTATCACACAGTTTCTTTAAATTCGATGCGAAAAAACTATCAATTTCTTTTGATTGTTTTAAACTTTATTAAATAAAATAATAAGATTATAGTAGTTTGGTCGTTTACGATCGTTTTGGTCCGCCTGTCAGACTCACCATCAAAAATGACTAGAAGAAAAAACAAATTTGACAGACCAAAACAGCGAGGATAGGAAGACCAAAATGAACGAAAACGATCGAAATATCTTTCTCTCACCTCGTAGACGATTTCACAACGTTATATACTCTCTCAAAAAAATTTCGAACATCATTAACAGAAGCCAGGTCTCAACGGACTATAAAGGAGACGAAGAACACAGGAGAGCATCAGACACAATGATATGGTATACAGATGGCTCCAAATAAACGAAGGAACCGGATCGGGCGTTCCAGTACAAGCCCGAAACATTAGCAATCAAACTCATTAGGGAAGTACACTTCGGTCTTTCAAGCAGAAATACATGTCATCAATGCTAGTGCCCTTGAAAATCATAAAAGTGGTTACACTGACATTAAAATCCTCATAAGATCTGATAGCCAAGCAGCCATTAAAGGATTAGCATGTAAAAGAATTACATCAAAATTAGTCAGTGAATGCATCCAAAATCTCCAAACCATGGGGGAACACAACAACCTGATGACATCTTGGGTGCCAGGGCACAGAGGAATTTTGGGTAACGAGAAAGCTGACAGACTGGCCAGAGGAGGATCCGCAAGACCATACATAGGTCCCGGAACCTTTACTTGGGATAACAAAAACAAATATAGAATCCTCCATCGCAGAATGGATCAAAACAAAACAAAAGGAGAAGTGGATAAACTCTAGCGGTGCTAGACATAGTAAACTTATGATGAAACAACCCTCACAACACTGACAAACAAGACTGGAAAAATCACTGCTGCAACTGGAGAGGGCTAAACCTAGAGGAGTGGTAGGATTACTAACCGGTCACCTGAGAAAACATCTACACAACGTGGGCATATACAACGATGATCCCATCTGCAGATTATGTAATGAGGAGGAAACAGCCACCCATATCATCTTCGAATGCGAAGCAACAGCTCAATGGAGATTCAACCTAACATACGAAAAAAGTTTAGGGAATGAAATTGTAGCAGCGACAGTCAATGAGCTGATACTTCTAAGGAGAAGGATAGAGTCTATTGCGCTGAACTAAGGAACTAAGAAGGTACAATAAGCCAGAAGGGTGCAGTGCTGCTCCTAGTATCCTTATCACCATACCATACCACACAAGTCAGAATATGAGTGTTACATCTTTGTAGAAAGATAGTTTCTACTCACAGTAAGGTAGTTCCTATTTACTGTGAGTAGAAACTTTCTTTTTACAAAGATTGAACACACACTCACTCCACCATTCAACATTTCTATTAACTTCCGTATGAATGTTAAAGTATGTATGACGATGTTTCCGTTTGAGGATCAGGGATGTGGTCCAAAATGAATATTGCTGTATCTTGCCAAGCTTTCGGCTTTTAGTAAGCCTTCCTCAGGCCTAAATACTCAGTCAGAAGTGTAAACAAAGGAGGCACATTGAGGTACATCAGTCAAATTCTTATTAAATTGTACATACATTTCTATGCACAATCGTTCTTCTATGTGGAAATAGATAAATAAATAATTTAATAACAAGTATATATAAACATGACCAGATGAGTTTTTCATAGGTTTGTTCATGGTTAAAGTATGTATGTACCTTATATTATTGAAAATAGACTTCCCAAATGTGTATTTTCAAAATAAACGAAAATTTCGTTCATATATTAATATTAGTACACCAAAGGCTGATAATATATTTGCGTTACTTTGGATGATATTTTTATTAATAGGCCATATTTTGACTCTAGAGATCAACTTTTACTTATTTTTAATTGTTAAAGTCAAATTGTATTTTATATTTGAATGTTACTACAGTATCAACATTTCCAACTTTAAAAGAAAAAAGTTTAGTTCTTTTTAATATTTATATAATAAAAAAGCGTGATATTTCTCTATGAGGACCTCGTGTTGATGAATGAATAATTTGGTTGTTATCGATCATTTTGGTTTGATTATTATCGTTGGTTTGGTTTGTCCCATGAGTCTTCAGTGGTGAGTCATTCGTTGTGGAATTCGGATTACTGGGGGGCTACATGTGGCATTTGGAAGACAGGGCCGCGTAGTTAGCGGAGATAATTCCTAGAGAAGCGTTGTCCAGGCACAGAACTGAGCCTATCATGTCTCCTAGTCCAACGGCAATTCCAGCTTTGTAATCTACAATATTACCGGCAAGCGTCCGAGTGTTGGCAGCCCGGAATCAGATCTCCGTCGTGCTCGTCCTGCCACCAGGGTAGGACTTCAGGGGCTATCAACAGCTAGATAATTTCAGCTCTCAACACAATCAGTTCCTAAAACCAGATCCATTCACTCATACATTATTTCTTATTTACATACCATTCACTCATTTAGGCTGGTCGGGTACTTAATGTTCCTCATTACCCCTAACCGACAGACTATTCAATATTCCACATCGGCCCTCTCACACATTCACGCCAATAAATACATTCAATCTCAATACCCACTAGGGGACACATTGTATTAATAATATATACAACAAAATTAACTGGCTAAAGCAGTCACGGTTAATGGAGAGGACCTAGAAATAGAGCTAAAGGGTTAAAAAACCAAAAGTATGGACCAAATATCTACAGGGTAAATATATAAATCTAACGAATGCAAAGTGGTACACAATTCCATGGTTTTCGACACAAGGGATGGGAAAGGCTTTTTGTCTTTCAAATTGTAGGCTGAGAACGGGCTATCTGTAATGCCTATTTACATCGCTTTAGGTTGAAAAATTCACCATTAGGCTAAAGGTACCAAACTGCGGAAACCTTGGAATGTATGATCTTGACATATTGCTCTAAATTTAATGATCTGAAAAAGAAACCTTAGACAAACTGGTCCGCATGATCTCCTGTCCGTTAATCTCAATACTATTTTGAGCTCGAGGGATTATGAACTACGAATGCTTATACAAATCATTTATGCCAAAATCGGCAGTGCGCTTTTGATTGAGGGTCCGGCTGGTTGACTAGGAGTCTTGGTAAAGCTCCTGTCATGGTGGCTGGAATGGAGATGTTTTGTCCAGTGTGAGGAGTACGCTATTGACGACGTGAATGTACTGCTTATGCTTATGGAACACAGTTAAAGAAAACTGCAATAAAACAGCCTCGTTTCAAAATAACAACAAGAATCGGGACTAAAATACTCGCCGAGCTGAAGCGCTAGTCTTTGATCGGGTGGTATTCCTACGCGCTCCCTATATGGATACAAGGAATTACACCTTTCAATTAGGTGGGACATCGAGCAACTTATCTCCAGACCATTTAATTTGTTTTAATTTTTAGTATAAATATATAAAGTTCACTAATCAGATTTTGTCTCACAAAATTTTTCAAGTTATTATGTTCTAGCGCTGTTCATAGAAATCGTCAGATTGCCAAACATAAATAAACAATTACAGAGTTCAGACCTCGATACAAATAATCAAGAATCTTTTATAACAAATTAAAACTAAACTTAAATTACATTCTCTTTAAGTACTATTTTGATTTGATAAATAACAAAAAATATTATATTTTATTTTTCAAAACATAGGTAATAATTGTGCGAAATAGTGCAATATTCTATGAGATTTTTCGCTAGTAGCACGGTTGGACGTTGAAAACAGTGAAAAAATTAAGCAATTTTATTTAAATTTGTCTGAATCGAATCAGCATTTTTGATAAAAATCTAAGACCAAAAATACACAATTTTTCGTGTCTTTTCCTTATGAAAAGTACCAGTAATATATCTAAAAATATTATTTTTTAAATCATTGATTAATTTATAAACTTTAAGTTTCTTTACATATTTAGTTTTTCTTTTTATTACGAGACGTATTTTTGCTTAAACCATTTGAACAGCACTATTGATATATTATAAAGATTGAATAGAAATAAATCTATAAAATAATGTTTAGTTTTTAGTATAACTAAACTAAAAAAAATACAGCGAAAGAATTAGCCGTCTTTAAGTACTACCTAACTGGGATAAATAAACATAAATATTATTATTCAGAAATCGTGAGATGCGGTCTGGTGGATGTAGGTCTCAGAAAAAGATTTTCTTTATCGTGCCGACGTTTTGATCTTTATTGAGATCATCTTCAGGGCCTGGGATTTACAAACATTGTTTAAATTTAACAAATACATGTAGGATGTGGAAAAAAGTGAATTTATACAATGCAAAAAAAATTTTTTTTTATATTCAATCAAAGTATTTCTACTCACTCAAAGTGTTTGTTTTCTGCGTAATTGTACCATTCTTGCGTGTCGTGTTGAGAGTGCCAGAGTAGAAATACTTTGATTGAATATAATAAATATATTTTGCATTGTATAAATTCACTTTTTTCCACATCCTACATGTATTTGTTAAATTTAAACAATGTTCGTAAATCCCAGGCCCTGAAGATGTTCTCAATAAAGATCGAAACGTTGGCACGATAAAGAAAATGTTTTTCTGAAACCTACATCACACCAGACCGCATCTCACGATTTCTGAATAATCATCGACAAACGGTCACTAATCACCAAACATAAATATTATATTAATTCCTACATATTTGGCGGTCATAATTGACCATATTAATTATTTCAATTAATTATTCTTTTTATCTAAGGTCTTGGTCAAGATGAAAAAGTTAGTGTCACGAGCGGAATTCGAACCCACGACCTTCGGGTTCGGATCCCGCTCGTCTCACTCACTTATTCATCTCGACCAAAACCTTAGATTAAAAAAATAATAATTGAAACAAATATTATATTTTATTTTTCAAAATATCGTTAATAATTATACGAAATATGCCATATCCTATGAGATTTTTTGTTGGTGGTTGAAAATTTTTAAACAGTGAAAAATTTTGCGCAATTTTATTGAAATTTGTCTGAATCGAGTCGGAATATTCGATGAAAATCCAAAACCGAAAATGCACAGATTTTCGTGTTTTTTTTCCTTACGAAAAAAGTACCAGTAACATATCTAAAAATATTAATATTTTTTAATCATTGATTAATTTATAAACTTTAAAAATTTATATATATTTAGTTTTCTTTTTATTACGAAGATGCGTATTTTTGCTTAAAAAATTTGAATAGGACGGTGTTATTGATACTATTGGTATACTGTAAAGATTGAATCGACATAAATCTGTAAAATAATGTTTGGCTTAATATTAAATAGCTAAAACAGTATCTGAATAATAAAAACATGGCTAGCAAACATATGATGACTGTTAATTATAAAAACAGACATATGAGAAAAAATAAAATATTTAAAAAAAGAACTTACACTCATAGTGACCATGTTCGTTTCCTGTTTTAGTTCAGTAAGTGGATAGTGCATCTGCGTTAAAAATATTGTTTACAAAATCTGGATTAGGGATTATTTATTTTGTTGTTGTGTTGTGATGATAAAGATGAGAGAGAGCGGTGTATGTCAGTTTTTTGTTAATTTTCGTTTTGTTTTGGTGAATGAGAATTTTTTTCCCTGGTTTTCGTTAAATTTCCTTGTTATAGATTATAAATGGATTATAAAAAGTAATAACTGACTGCATTTGAAAGACGGTAAATAGCTGCCGAAAACGGGGCCAGTTCCTATCTGAGAGACATCTAGACGATCTCGAGGGAATTCATTGACGTTCGGTTGTCAGCAGATTCTGCAGAGATCTCTGCATTCTTCTTTTCCTTCACACAATTGTCTTAATGCACTTTTTTTCAAGAAAATGTATTAATATAAGATATTTACAGAAGAAAAACAAATGAGTATTTTTTTATAAACTATGTAAACAAAAAGTGTATTTATAAAGGAAATTAACATTGCAAAATGTTGAAATTCTACTCCTATTCCATCGTAATTCTACAAGTTACATTGATCATAAGTTGAGTCCAGATTTGTATACAATTGCATATTATTTGTGCTAACAATTATGACCAAGGTGGTCATATATTTGTCTGGACCATATTTGGAACCTCCTTGGTAGGGGGTTCAAATTTTATTCTGCTTATTTTTGTATATTTAAAAAATATGTATTTGTAAATGTTGTTTCTTGTCCTCTCCTCACGAATTCGACAATTTGTATATTTAAGGAATATTGCAAATTTGAAACATTTTTGATTACTTAGAAAAATTAAAATAAGCAAAGAAACTAAGAAGTTGAAAGAAAAAATCAGCCAAAAATTTGGATTTCAATTAACTTTCCAGACAGAAAACAAACTTAGAAGGGCTTAAAAGTCTTTCTATATATTGTGGATCTGCACAAGAGTCGAACGACTTTACAATTCTTCTTTCATACTATTCTCAATTTAAAAAAAAAAACTGGTTGTACAGGATTCGAACCCACGACCACTACCATGACAAATATGAGTCAGACATCCTAACCACTCTGCCATCGACATCACCCCACACAAAATTGTTTATGATATAATATAATAATTATTTATTATGGTTATTCTCTTGAAATAACCATTTTAATTGAGCCCCTATTTCCTAAACTTCTAGGGGCATAATTTGTCCTGAAAAATTACGTTATGTGAAGTAGTCTGATTGTAGAAAAGGGCCTCATATTTAACACACAAGTAGCCAATTTCAGTCATATATTGAATTTTCATCCTAGTAAGAAATGCCAAAACTGGGAACTTCAACTTCTTCTAAAACAGCAGGCTAAATTTTTCCATTCAACATAAAACAGAAATCAAGTTCGTTGCAAGAATTAGATTACAAAATTTAAAAAAAATCCTTGAAACGCCAGGTTGACTGAATTCAATATCTTTTTGAGTGCAGTACTTCTAATCTTATGGAACTCCATATTAATGTTAAATTATTTATAAAACACAAGGCGTTTTGTTAAAGTTGACTGGATGTGGAAAATTAATAGGTTCTTATTAAAATTATAGTCATTGAATACAAAATGGCTGTAAAGGAAGGAGGTTAGGTTTTATTAATGCATATTATATTTGAGGGTTTTTATTGTCCACAGTTCCAAATACTAGATTAATAAGTGTTTCCGCTTTTCACCATTTTCAGTGGTTCGGGTATAAGCAGGGTGAGGCAAGGAAGCAAAACTGACAATTAAAATTTTGCCATCTTCAGTGATCGTTTGGAAAAAATATGAGAATGGACACACCAAAATGATTGGATACGTCAACAGCTCAGTGATTCTTGAAAAATATCTTCTTTATATCTTTGTTAGTACTTTCAATCTTATAGAACTCCTTATTAACGTTAAATTATTTATGGAACACAAGGCATTTTGTTCACATCATGTTAAAGTTGACTGAATTTGGAAAATTAATAGTTTCATATTGAAGAAATAGTCATTGAATACAAAATTGCTATACAGGAGGGAGCATGTTAATTCTAAAGTTGTTTAGCTTTAATTACAGTTGAAAAATTTAGACTCATAAGAGTATCCTCTTTTCATCATTTTCATTGGATAGTCATGGGTATAAGCAGGGTGAGGCAAGATAAAAAAAACTCACAACGAACATTTGGCCATGTTCAGTGATCGTTTGGCACAAATATGAGAAGAGACAAAATCAACGGAAACAGCTAAACAACTTGTAATATTTTGCCATAACATAATACTTCAACAGCTCAGCGATTCTTGAAAAATATCTTCTTTAGTACTTTTAATCTTATGGAACTCCATATTAATGTTAAATTATTTTTGAAACACAAGGCGTTTTGTTCATATAGTGTTAAAATGATTGGAAAATTAATAGTTTCTTATTAAAATAATAGTCATTGAATACAAAATGGCTATAAAGGAGGGAGCATGCTAATTCAATAGTTGTTTAGGTTTTATTACAGTTGCAAACTCTTAAGAGTATCCTCTTTTCACCATTTTCAGGGGTTATTCAGGGTTATAAGCAGGGTGAGGCAAGATAAAAAAACAACAAACATTTTGCCATATTCAGTGGTAATTTAGCAAAAATATGAGAACAGATAAACTAAAATGATCGGAAACGGCTAAATCGCGTGTAATATTTCGAAATAAACTTTGAAATAAAACGAATAAGGTTGAAAATGTAATAGTAAATAGAAAGTGATAACTACAAAAAATTCGAATCGAGCGGGATATAGTTAATGAATTGGGAAGGGAGCCGTGACATGTCCGTCTCGCCCTAGACGCAGGTGGAGCCGTGGAGGTCACCGCGGTGGCAGGTTACGAGGAAAAAGGCAGAGGTTTCTTTCGTCCGTGGTCCGTGGATTGGTGCCGAGGTGAGACAGTGCGACATGATGCCCATTTTCAATGTCGAGCGTTCCCCGGCTTCGCTACGTCTCAAGCCGCCGACGGCGAATCGGCCGCTTTAATCATGCCTCGCCATCCGTGCGCCATGTATTGGACGTTCGTTCCGGTCCGATTCGTAAATCGCCGCCTCCCGCCAGCTCGCAGGAACTCTCGAAGAGATTTCTCCTTTATTTAAATCCTAAACAGTGTCTTTGTGTGTTTAAGTGTTTATAAACAGACGAAAATGGTGTACAAAACGTTGTGTCTTGTGATATTGTTGTTGGCCGTCGGACAGACAAGCGTCAGGTCCAACGCGGGCCAAGCCGCCGAGGAGACGTCGAAAGACAATTCGACGGCCAAGGAGGACCAGAAACTACATCCTCCGCCTCTCGTAGAAGTAATCCACGGAAAGGTAAAAACCCAATCAAATCTTTTATTTAAAAAACAAAAATTATCCTTCGCTCCAGTTAAACAGTTTAATGATAAGAGATCTAAATGTGTCAATGAGAAGACAAGAATGATTTTCATGTAGGCGACGGCTGTTCCAAAGAAAAAAAATCATCACCCTATTATTTTCACTGTATTACGGCGTTTCATAGCGAAAACTGACGGACCTGATATGTCTGCCGCAACAAACAAGTCCTTGACTACAAAATTTATTTAAATATATAAAAATTGTAATTTTATTAGTCTATTTACATTTATTGATAATGCTAATCAACTAGATATTTAGTAGAGCCCCGTTTCATAACGGATCTGGAAAATTGGTCTTGACCGATAAAGACAGCTTTGTGATGATCGTCACGTTGACGGCCGTGAATGATCGCGAACGGTTTCGGTGGCCGGAGTCATTCACAGGACCGTCTGATTTCACGGTCAATAACGAATGTCACTGACTCACGGACGACCTCAAGCAAGCGCGTTCACGACGGTGACCGGCACCGACTAGAGCTTTCTGACAATTTTTAAAAAACACCCAAGCTAAAAAGTTCATATGGGCTTTTTTTAGTAGAAGCCGCCGGCAAATAAAAGCATTAAATTACCTCCCTATTTCTTTATTTGTAGTTTTTTACTGTTGTAAATAAATCCAGACTGAAAATAGCAAGGTAGAAGATCATTGAGTCCCCGATTTAGTTTTTGATTTTTTTCTCTCAATTTTTTACAATAAAGTGTGAACTATGATTCTCTTTCAGGTGAATTCTGTGATCCATGACATCGTAGGCAGCATCGATGAAATTCCGCCCTTGGTGACGGAAGTTCTCAAGCCGAAGAAAGAATTCGTCGTCACGCCAATCGAGACGTCAGTGCCGTCAGAGTGAGTAAAACCTTTCCTTAGATATAGCATTTTTTCGTTTACCTCCAAAACGTACCTTCAAGATTTATCTATATAATATTAAAAATGTTTCGGCTGAAGATGTAAGAGACAAAAGGACCTGTACGATAGAAATGGTGATGTTGGGGTGAATGTGTAGATTCACTTTTTGTAAATGATGGTTCTACTCATAGATTTCATTACAATCTGCGTGTAGAACTATCATTAAAGTAAACCTTTCGGTTTTAATGGTGCAGAAAGAGTTCCAAACGTCGCCAAATGGCAACGCACTAGGTACTCCTCAGGGCTCAGACTGCTAATTCTTAACAAACTGACGAATAAATTAAAAATTGAACTTTCCAAACTAAGATTCGATACCAGACATAAACAACTAACCTTACCACTGAAGATGTTGGACAGCAACCCAACGCATCCTTTCCTAAGTAATCTATCCCCTTCGCAATTACGACTGGTCATGGGCCAAGTCCAACGAAGAAAAAGCATCCCTCTTCGCCCAACAATTTTCAAAGCTTTTCCGCCTTCATCCTTACAATGATCCTGATCATAACAAAAACACAGAAAAGGAACTAGTCCTCCGAATAGTCTTCAGTCCTTTCCCAAAAAGCAATCCTGCCATTTAATGATGTCCTAACTAGCTTTCTTTTCCATAGTAAAAAGATCCCAAAGCACTATAAACCTAGCCATTTACCTCAATCCTCCTACCAATACTAGAAAAAATCCTACAGAAGTTTCTTCTGGAAAGAAGGAAAAGTCCCATCCATTCCATCTCACCACGCTCCGTAAACACCACTTCACAATCTAGCAATGCCACAGTGTTGTAGACGCAATCTCGACCTCTCTTGAGCTGAAACAGTAGTGCTCGGCTGCTTTCATTGATGTGGATTTGTTAGGATCTGGCTGGGTTTGCTGTGGATGCTCAAGAGCATCCTTCCCTTCACCTACTTCCTCATATTCCGATTATACCTGAATGGCTGTTTCTTTCTGGTAAGCCAAGGAACATCGTGCTTTGACTATCCGTTATGCCCGGAGTCTCGCAGGGTAGTATCCTCGGCCCAATCCTATATGATAATCCCCTTAAGACATGAAGCGGCAGTGGCCTTGCGACCTTTTTGGGCAGCGAGTCATAGACATAGACTTTACTAAACATGTCATCACTGGATGATTCTTCACACCGTAGTGCCAAATAGTCCCAGATTTTGTTTTAGTTCATTTTCACATTTGTTCATGTCAACAATTTTACTTGGAGTATAAAAATAACGTTTTCATACAATTTTGCACTCTCAGTTTAAATTTTAAGAAACAATGTCATATTATATATCGTCGGAAAGAGGAACGTTTTGTTTTCTACAAAATAATCCTAATTTAAACATTGAAAACAATTGCTGTCTTATTACTACTACTTTGTTACTTATTTTAATACAGAAGTAAGCTACTTTATACTTTTTGTTTGGATTAAAATTGAGAAAGATTTTCCACGAGAACTGTATCTTATTATTTTATTTTACATAGTATTAAACAGCTATTTAAAACCAATCGAATAAAAAAAATCCACTAAAAACGGATTACTATTAGCGAAGTTGCGGAAGTTTTTTTGAATCATATTTATTTTGAAAACCGCAACCAAATGAACTGGTCACGTAAAATGAAGAAATAGACGTTCATCTGGGATGAAGCGTCGATGATTCCCAAAGCCATTATCAATAGGAAATTTAGAGATGTTTTTAATGAAGATTGTTCATTTGCGGAAAATTTTTTATACCCGGTGGTGACTTTCGAGAAGTTTTACCAGTCAAACATTGTACGCAGGAAACAAATTTTTGACGAATGCTTAAAACATATTTGTTATGGAATAGCTTTCAGCAATTCAAATTATCCAAGATTATGCGCGCGGATGGAGATTCAATTGAATTCTCAGATTGGTTATTAGATAACGGAAATAATATCATAAAAACACTAGAAGTACCCCAGGAAATGTGCGGTAATTTAATGAAAATTTATATGCATTAGATTTATCTGAGGAAGAATGAGTAATAGAGTTATATTAGAAATGATGACGTGAAAAATCAATCATCTTATTGTGAAACTACCAGGGTAAATTGTAAATGGGGTTTTCATAGATCATACCGAGTCACTAGCTGGTGACAAAGCCGACAATGAAAACGTACGTTTACACTAACACAATCAATGACACCTTCGGGTTTGCCTCCTATAGAACTGCACTTGAAAGCAGGGTGTACAGTTATGCTTTGAGAAATTTACCTGTAGTAGAGTTTGTCATATATAGGACTGGTCATTCTGCAAATAAATTTATGTCATTACAGAGTCCAACAATTTAAAGAGGGATAGCGGACAAAGAGGATTTGGGACGACAGAAATGCGAATGAACAAAATTGTTATTTTTTGTGTATTTGTAATGGTGAAGTTTCGACTTTTGACATGATTGGTGCTGCTGAAGGAAATGCTGTGTTCTATTTGGAATTCTTTTCAATTAATTAAGGTTTTGGTTGAGATAAAAAAGTCAGTGTCACAAGCGGGATTCGAACCCACGACCTTCGGCTAAATACGCCGCTGCTCTACTACTTGAGCTATCGTGACTTCGATCCGCTCGGACACTAACTTCCCATCTCAACCCTACCTTCTAAATTTTTCCCTCCTTTTTTCCATTTTTCAAATGTCGTTTAATCTATTTGATGATCTCTTAGGTACGAAGGTTTGTGGTTCAAATCCCGCTTGTGACAATGACTTTTTTATCTCAACCAAAACCTTAATTAATTGAAAAGAATTTATTTGGTCAAGCGTACAACGAAACCTAATAAATCTATTTGGAATGAGCAACCAAAATTGTTCTGTGTCTTTTCAGCCGTTGGATTTAATTGGATTCTCGGGATAAACTGTGTGACCCGACAGTCAAACTAAACCTTATTCTTTGTCTGTAATTTGGTAGTTTCCGATCGTTTGGTCTGGCTATCTATCCGTCGATTTGTCTCACCCTGCTTATTACCCTGACTAACCATGAATATGGGGAAAAGTCGAAATATGACAGGCCATCACAGCGAGGGACGTGCAAACCAAAATGATTGATAATTACAAAATTATAAGTTTATAAACTTATAGACTATTGGGATGGTGTAAAAATAATGCAGGTTTTGAAAAGGCAGTCAAAACTATTTTTAATTTTTATAAAATAAAGAAAATTTATTCGAAATATTTTCCATCACATCTTTGCCAACGTGTAATAAGCGGTTTTATTCCGCTAACATAAAAATCTTTATTTCGACTCACAATAGAGTCTTGGCGTTTTCGGCTTCACCACGTTCACTAAAAATGTTATCCCTCAATAAGTGATCAAAATTCCTAAAAAAGTGGAAGTCTGTAGGCGAGAGGTCGGGTGAATATGGAGGTTCTTTAAGTTTCCTCAGGTTGGCATGTGTTAGCGACATGTGTCCTGGCGTTATCGTGAAAAAGAATCGGCCCCTTACGGTTTACCAATGCTGGACAAAAAAGTTGCAGTTTCCCGTGCATTTTGTCATTTTCTTGGCAGGATTTCTCTGCCATGATAGTTTGACCATAATTTAGGAAATCACAGTGAACAACCCCAACAGTCGCCATAAACTTTTTTTTAGGATGCAATTCCGGGAAGTGTTTTGTCACTACATCCTTGTCCAACCACTGACCTAAACGCCTCCTGTTATCGTACAGAATCCATTTCTCATCGCACTGATGATTCGATCGAGAAATGGATCATTTTGATGGGGCAACAGAAGAGACGTGCAAATTTTAAAACGTCGATTTCTTTGGGCTTCGGTTAGTTCGTGCGTTACCCACTTTTCTAGCTTCTTCACTTTACCGATGTGCTCCAGATGGCGAACAACGGTTGAGTGGTCTACACTAACCTCTTCCGCAATTTCCCGTGTTGTCTTACGTGAATTTTCTTCAATCAGCGTTTTGAGTCAGTCTACCCGCGCGACCTTCTCTATCTTCGAGATCGAAATCTCCAGGAGGAATCTGATGCTTCCCTGCCCCCCAAACTGTATTGTTGTTAGGCGCAGTTTGAGCTGCACTTTGACCAAGTGTAAAGTCATACAAATAAATCTCACCATCTCTAAATAATCATACAAATAGATTTAACGAAAATCTAGTTTGGACATATTTAATTTCGCAGGTCCTCACTCCTATAAAATTCAGTAAAAACTGAAATGTTTTGTATAAAAGATGCCCAGTATAAGTATTTATTATAATCCATAAATTATATTTGAGGATTTAGCTTTGTTTACATGACAAGCATTTGCGAAAATAAAACAAATTTGCAAAACCTGCAATAATTTTGCACCAGCCTGTTCAGTCATGGTGACACATGAAGACACCGATCTTGTGTTCGATGATTCCGTCATAGATAAGGATTGTTCCATAAAATTGAGTGGGTGCGTAGGCAGTAATAACTATTGCCGGGCTATCAAAGGCATTGGTATGGTGAAGAAAGATTTATAATCAATCTCAATTTTTTTAAAAAGATAATTTCTTTTAATTTGGAAGTAAATGCTAGGATTTAAATATTTTGAATCTGTAAATATTTTACAATTATTAGAAGCCGGTTACGTCGATGGACGAGCTAAACCAAGTTAACCCTAGAGGCGTCCGACCAAATCGGATTCTCATCCTTCTGCGGTTATTGACGAAATTCGTAGAAGGACACAGTTGTTGCATAAGTCATTTAGTACAGTTGGCGTATCGATATTGGCTAAGGCCGCAATAATTAACCGTACATTGTAAAATTAATTTAGATTTGTCCTCCCCCTGTTTAAGTGGAACATGATACGCTATTTTTAACATTTTAATAAACTATTCCGAGTTTGCAAATCTACTTTTAAATTCGCGTAGGTTTTAATTTACTAAGGACGATTTCGGTCCCGGCATCACCTCGTACGTGAAAAGGAGGCCGTCCAACAGAGTTAAACCACGTCAGATCGTCCTTGGCAAGTTGT